CCAGACCCAGGAATGAAACAGAGCATTTCTAGACCCTTCAACTGTCTAGAAAGGGCTACAGACCCATATGGTGTGGATTAGGACACATCTAGCTCTAACTGCAAGGACACAAGCAGAGCCAATGCCACCTGGAGAGCCTGGGGTGGGGTCACTGAGGCAGGTCTTACTATAGAGCCTTGTGGATCTTCTTAAATTTAGGTAACTTCTCTTCCAGCTTGTGAGCCAGGTCCCGAAGTGCTCCAGCCGACTCTGTCTTTGCCCCATCATACAAATGCATTGAGTCAGTCACAAGGTTGTACACATCCAACACAAGGAAGATACCTGTAAAGCTCGCTGCTCTTATCCTGGCTCCTCTGGTCATTGGGAGAAGAGAGCTGGATGAAACCCTTCCTACCTGCCTAGAACCTTGGGCAGAGCGAGCGCTGGCTCTGGCTATCCTGAGAGCTTGGAAATGAACCCTGAGGGACCTCAAGGCATCAACAACTTCTGCAGGTGTTTTATAAAGATTGACACTCATCTTGGGCGTGATCTTCATAATCTCATCCAGACTGTCCATGCTGGCTCCCACCAGGCGCGTGGCTTCAGACTCATCTGACAGTCTGTTTACTTCTTCCACAACGGTGGTTGCAAGACTATTTACAGATGCTGCCACTCCCAGCCCCAAGGAAATTGCTGGGAGCGCCAGACTGGCCCCTGCTGTAAAGGGAATCAGAGCTAAACTACAGAGGCCCAGGGCTCCAGCGCTAAAGCCAGCAGAGCTGGACACCACATTGGAGATGGTGCAGCCCCTGTGCACCTCGTCGATGTGGTCAGCGAGACCGCGAAGCTTCCTGATGTCTTCTTCAAGTCTCCTTTTCAACTGAGGGAATAGTTCCAGGAACCTCTTTCTCTGCTGCTCCCATTGATGCCTGTCATCTTTATCTGCGGGCTCCTGTGCTAAATGTTCCTTCAGCGCAGCACGCAGGGCATCTTCCTCCTCGCTGTGAAGAGGTCAAGTGCATGAGAGTTAGGTTTTATTTAAAACCAAAAGCTTGTTCAAAATTTACCCTTATACTATATACTGAACAGGACATAAATTTACAGAGATCCAAATTTTTGTATTCTCCTGTGAACCCTTGGTACATCACAGATGCCCACCATCCTTAGTCCAGAGTGTCAGTATGGAGTCAGGACACCACAGTGACTGGCACATGGTACAATGCCTCCACTCAAGGTCCGCACCATCCCTGCCTGTGGGAGCCCTG